TCCTTGCCAACAAGACAAAATATAATTACATAACAAAATGGCAAGGATGGGTCTCGTACGTAGACACAAGGCTGACCCTCCAAAACTCATATTGTTTGTCACGACCCAAACCCGGCCCTATGGGTTTAGCACCGTAACCGGCCAGTAATCCGAGATTACCGAAGGCCTGCTTAACAGTAGTACAGTAAAACATAGTTCAGGGCCCGGCGGAAGCCAATACAGTAAATAAATAATGTCCATTGAGCTGTGACAGTCTGTATGCCAAAAAGATTTTTCATGCATTCATACATACAAACAGTACAGTCTATACAAAATTTACAGTCACACAGTACAGGGACCTAATCCCTTGATAACAGTACAGTTAGTAGCTGACAGTCTATACAGTAATCCAAACAGTATGGGGACAGACGGGGGGAAAAACAAAACACCCCAAAGCCATAACATGGCAACTCGGAACCTCGCAGTGAGGCACAAAGGCTGGCTTGACAAAAACTGGAGTCTAACCCACGCTCCTAGCTCCGATCTGGTGGCTGAGCACCTACATATATATATAAACAGTGAGCTAAAGCCCAGTGAATAACATAATGCGTAAAGAGGTTAAGAATGAAATGTTCTTACAGTAATGAAAGCAATTCATTAAACAATACTTCAGTCTTTCAGTCAGAACAGTTATTCAGTCATATGTGGTACATCCATTAGCATAGCAGTAAACAGTAGGTCTTAAAGACCGAACAGTAACGATGGCCATCAATCAGTAAACAGTAGTGGTTCCACGAGGGAACCGACAGAGATCTCTGTAACAGTAACAGTAACAGTAGATGCCAAGGATGCCACAGTACAGTTTAGAATATAGGACATACATTCATTCAGTAAACAATATCAGTTCAGTAAACAGTTCAGTTCAGTATTCAGAAGATAATCATTTGAACATATCTTTACACAATTGTTACTCACAGAGTTTGGGCTACAGTATGCTAGAGCGTGTCTCCCCAGTCGCCAACCCTACACAGCTCACAGGTTGAACACACACTAAGCTACACAGTTGGGAAATATCATAACTTAATCCCTAATTTGCCTCGGTGTGTTCTACATCTAAGCCCTCAATGAGATGCCTTAAACTAGGCCTAAGAATGCCTAGGATGGGATGAGGATGCAAAGATGTATTCGAAAAGTAGTTTCAGAAAGACAGAGTCCCGTTCGAGCACAGGTTTACCCGCTCGAGCTGACATGCAACAAAGGTACACGCTCGAGCGTCAACTTTCCCGCTCGAGCGTACTGTAAAAGTACTGGATGGGTGAAATCTTCGTTCGACGCCCGCTCGAGCTTGAGACACAATCCTCCGCTCGAGCGCCCAATCCTCCGCTCGAGCGGACTGTAAAACAGTGTAGAGAAATACTGGATGCTCGGATTCCACGCTCGAGCGCCACTTACCCCGCTTGAGCGGGAGTGCAAAATCTGGAAATCCCAGATTGCACCTCCAAGCCAAAACCAAGTTTTCACAATTAAAAACTCGACCTCTTGGGCTAAATTTCCAGAAAACATTTGTAAACACATAGAATATCATGGCTCAAAGCTCAATTTTGAGAAATCAAAGCCCAAGGGTGTTTAATTGAAACCCAATTTCAAACCAATTTCATGAACATGGAGGACATGCAAACATGCATGAATTTAAATCATTTTGAAGCTCCAACTTGATGCTCTAAGGAGCCAATTCTTTTCAAAACATGATGAAATCATGGACTTAAATATAATTATGAACATGCATGTACAATTTTACCATGAATTCAACTCAAAACTCATCAATTCAAACATGCATGCATGAATTATGTTCTAATCCTACATGTATGAACTAAAACAAGACTTAACTCTACAACTAAAGCATGAATCATGCAAGAATTAATTCTATGACAACAACTCTATGACAACAACAAGAAGGTGAATGTCCTACCTTAGTCTTGTATTCAAGGTTTAGGAGTCCAATTTGACAATTTACACTTCAATTCCAAGCAATTCAAGCCAATTCAACAAAATGAACTCAATCCTCTCCTATCTCCTCTCTTGGTCGGCAAGAACAAGGGAAATGGCTGAGCAAATGTTTGATCTAGGTGTAATGAGGCTCAAATATGACTAGGTAGTGGGCCACTCATGTGGCAAAATGGCAAATAAATCAAACTATGCAATTGATCAATATTTAATCTAATTTAATCATACCTAACAATTTTCAGATAATTATACCATAAAATCACATTAATTCTAAGGATCATAGAACACTAACCAATTCCCGGTTCGGCCATCGATAAGGCCTTCAATTAGCAGTTTAAACACTAAAATACGAACAGATCAAGTAATCGATCAAGCAGATAGAATACAAATTAACATACATACTCAGTCAATTCAGTTCCAACTTTCAGTCAGCCAGTTCAGTACTTTAAGCAGATTATCAGTCATGATCAGTTCAGTACTTTAAGCAGTTCGGTTATCAGTCATAATCAGTTCAGTTTAACGGTAATCAATGTTTACCGGTAAGCAGTGGTGAGGGTTATTACATTGTTCCTGGCAGGCTTCACTGGGGCTGGGTTTGGACTTCCCTCGGCTCACCTACAAACACATGAATGAGCGTGAGTGATAGCCCAGTGAATAATATCGAATACATAAGTTACATAAGCAATATGAAGAACAACATGCTCTGAACGGCCTTGGGCCCAATGCAAATTTTTGCTTAACATATATATACTTATACAAAATTTAGATCAAATGACTGTAGTTCCAAACATACTGGCCTTTGGCCCAATCAGATTCCCATTCATATCAAAACGGCCTTCGGCCCATTCATTTATGTCAGAACGGCCTTCGGCCCATTCATTTACGTCAAAACGGCCTTCGGCCCATACATTTGTGTCCAAATGACTTTAGGTCCATTCACTTATGTCAAAACGGCCTTCGGCCCACTCATTCATGTCAAAACGACCTTCGGTCCATTCATTTCTATCATGTCAAACTTTTGTCCACAATCCCAATTAGCAACTCATAAAGTTTATAAGGGAAATAAACAAGAACAACATGCTCCGAACGGCCTTGGGCCCAATGCAAATTTCTGCTTAACATATATATACGTATACAAAATTTAGATCAAATGACTGTAGTTCCAAACATACTGGCCTTTGGCCCAATCAGATTCTTATTCATGTCAAAACGGCCTTCGGCCCATTCATTTATGTCAGAACGGCCTTCGGCCCATTCATTTACGTCAAAACGGCCTTTGGCCCATACATTTGTGTCCAAATGACCTTAGGTCCATTCACTTATGTCAAAACGGCCTTCGGCCCACTCATTCATGTCAAAACGACCTTCGGTCCATTCATTTCTATCATGTCAAACTTTTGTCCACAATCCCAATTAGCAACTCATAAAGTTTATAAGGGAAATAAACAATCAGACATTGACAAGATTTCAAATATTGATATTACTCACAGTGATCGGCTTGTGGATTTCCCTTGGAGCTTGACCCTACACATTTCATGAAAACAAAGGGGGTCACTAATAGTTCAATCTGTTCTTTGATTCGCATATTCCTCTTTAGGCTTTATTTTTATCTCATTAACTCATTTACAATGCTTAACATATGCCTAAGAGTGCTTACAAGTGAAAGAGAACGGAAAACGAAACACAGAACGAGCATACAAAATTTCAGGGAACAAGGTCCCCGCTCGAGCGTCAACTTCCCCGCTCGAGCGGACCCTTAGGGCCTGCAAAAGTACTGGTTGCATGAAAAATACGCTCGAGCGTAGGATAGAGCGCTCGAGCGGAAGGCCTGTGTACAAAAACTCCCCGCCCGAGCGTGATATATACCGCTCGAGCGGACATCCAACTCTGCAAAAAGTGCTGGGAGCACGATTTTCCCGCTCAAGTGGCTCTTCCCCCGCTCAAGCGGCTCTTTCCCCGCTCAAGCGGACATAAAAAATCTGGGTTTTCCAAATTGAGTTCTTGAGCTCCAATTCGAATTTTAACCAACAAAACATGCATGTTATGGCTCAAATCTCAAATATAGTTATGCTAAGATGCCATAAACACCAAAACACATTACAATGGAGCCCAATTCACAATTAATTCACATGTATGCCCCAATCCCCCATCAACTCATTCTAATACAAACAAAATCATACTTTCAAAGCTCATCTCTTAATTATTCAAACATGCATGCTAATCTTGATTTCATTTCCATCCCAAACAATGCAAATGGTGTTCATTCTCATAGAATACAACAAAAGCATACTTGCATGTAAGATTTAACACCTTTATTTCCATGTTCAACTCAATACATGCTAGATTATGCATATCCACAACAATTATATGCATGCATGCCTTCATTGACCTTCAATTGAACACAAGCAACTCAATTCACTTACATTCAAACTAATTCATGCTCTTGACCATTTATTAAACTTGAATTCACAAGGTGATGACTATAAATGCATGAATCACTCACCAAGGAGCTTTAATCTCCCCAATTTAGCAATACTTGAGCTTAATCTCCAAAATGTCCAAGTCTTGAACCATAAATGCACAATTCTCTCCTCTCTCTCTCTCTCTAATAGTCGTCTCTCTCTCAATCTCAATTGTATAACTCAGATTTTGAGTTCAATAGAGTTAAAGGAGAGTGTAGTGCTAACATACAACAAGCCCCATTAACATATTATTTTAATATAAAATAATTGGGCACTCAATTCATCAATTTAATCAGTTTAATCTGACCCGAATAAATTTTCAATTAAATTTCACCGTAGGCTCTAAAAATTACGCTAATCACAATGGCGTAATCAATTTCGGGTTCTGTGGCCGATAAGGCCCTCAATTTAATTTCCAAAGCAGATTATTCAAACAGATTTTCCTACGGTGAACAGATAAAACTTCAAAATCACATATATTCATATAATGACACATAAAATTATGCTAAACATATAATCATACTCAAATTAAAGACCAATTAGCATACGGAACAGGGGTATCACAGCTGTGGAGCCAGTTTTTCATAGGCTTTGTTCATACATATTTAACATGGAGCGTGGGAGATATTCTGGAGAAGAGATGGACAGACCTGTGCCAAGTGCAATATTTATTGTTAATTTTGATAAGGTATCTATATTGCTTTGACTTTTATCTGAAACTGAAATCACTATGTTTTTCGTGGAATCTACTTACAAAGTTTATTGCACCACACCACCCTTAAGGAGACACTAGGTATGAATGCATCATTGTGACTTCTTTTCCTGTACTGGGGCTACTTCCTTCACAGGTCAGAGTGGACCCTAGGAAGAAGGATATTGACCTCGAAAGTCTAATGTATGGAAGAATTTCTCAGCTAACCGAGGAAGAGATGAAAAAACAAGAGGGAGATTATGTTTACCGTTATCATTACAATGGAGGTGGTGCCTCTCAGGTTTGGCTGAGCTCTGGCAGGTATAGTTGGTATACACTAATTTTGTGAAATATATTTGAGCTTGATATTAATTTTCCTAAGGCTACTATTTCTTAAATATGTTATGAAAAAAATTACTTTGTTTATTTGTATAGATACATATATACATATATGATATATATAGATAGATACACATATATTGCCATATCCTGATGCTGTGTTTGGTTAAGAGATTTCAGAGGGATTCGGAAAGGGAAAGGGAAAAGTTTGGTGAAATGTGAATAAAATATACTTACATTTCACCTAGTTTCACACACCTTTTCTCTTTCTCTTTCCAAATCCCTCACCAAATCCTCCAACCAAACACAGTTTTAATGTATCCGTTTCTTACTATTTTAGAATTTTCCATATCAATGTATCTGTATTGGTATCCATGCTTAACAGAGCATTTAAAACTGACCGCATTCATTGGTTTTACAATTAAATTTGTTGGTTAACATGTTGTCTCCTACCAAGTAAATCTGAAAAAAGGCTAAATAATGATCTTAATTTTAAGTTGGAGAGCCTTGACTTATCATTAAATGCTGAATACATCAATGAAAAGTAGTTTTCTTTTTCATTCTCAAATAACACTTTTTATCTTAAAATTTGAAAATTCAAAATTCAGAACTTAAAATTATCAGCATTGGAAATTCAGTACTAAAAATTCTGGATACTTAATTTTCAGTTTTATCAAACAGGGCCTGAGTATCAGTGTTTCTTGGTATTGCCTCAGTACAGTTCAAGCTCGGGTTGAGCTTCTGTGTCAGTTTCACCAAGCTGAAACTGAAATCAGCTTCAGTTGGTTTAGTGACTTATTTGCAGCCTGTGCCTGTCTCTGTGTCTGTGCTATTGAATTATGCAATCATTAATTGTTTCATACTTTTATGGAATAAAGTTAAGAATATATTAATCTCCCTACCAGAGATTAGCACTAATCATAAATACTTACATATCTTTAGAGTAATGCATATTTATGCCTCTGTTTTATTTATATGGACATGCCAAAGAAAAATAAATAAATAAAAAAATGGAAGAAGAAGAAGAAGAAGATAAATCAACTTAGGTTGAAGCTAAAAGAAGAAACAAATTGGAGAGAGAATCATACTGTCGGGTGTGTAGTGGGAGGGAAAAAAAAAAAAAATCTACGTCCAATTTATGCCAAATCTTCTTTTGATGACGCATAAATACTTGAAAGTAGGGATCTGAAGGAGAAGTTTCTATGATGATTCAGGAGGTGCATTTTCTTAAGGCAGTACCAGAAACCATGTTTTGGTGTGCAAGTTTTCATGATTTTCTGAACTATGATGACAAATTCATCTTTCCATCATATTGGTTCAGCTGATTTTTCTTTTTACGTGAAGAATTTACACTCTTCATGTTGTCTTTTGTGAATTCAGATTTGTTGTGATCGACCTCTCAGCAGGCCCTTGCACATATGGAAAGATTGAAACCGAAGAAGGCAGTGTCAGTTCCAAAACACTCCCCCGGTTACAGAATGTGATGTTTCCTAGAGGCTTGAGTGTTGCTAGTGATCATTCTGCCCATGATATTTTTGTTGGACAAGTGGCTGCTCTGGTTGCAACTACAATTGAACATGTTATAGCTCCTGATGTTAGGTATTGTAACACTATTTTGCTACACTCCTTACATTATGTTACTACTTTGATGAATTTTCGGTTTTTGCACTGTAACTGGTGTTTCATGCTTTAATGCTAGGCTATTTATATAATTATGGATGTTGAGAATGACTGCTCTACTTAGATCTTCCATTAGAAAAGAAGGTTGATCTCCAAGGATATATAGGCCTATAATTTTTCGTAATAAACTTTTACGGGCACATTTTGCTTGCACATCTCAGATAATAGCAGTATTGTTTGCAGAAGTATTATGTTTGTTGCATTCAATCAACTCTAGGTGACCTCAGATTCCAACCATAATAATAATGTTATTACGTACATACTCCAGCTGCTTTCATGTTTTGAAAGAGAGATAAATTAAGCAGTCTCAGATCTTCTGACCATGTTAAGTCGTTGCTGTTTAGGTCTTATGTGGGCCTCCGATATTATTTGTTTCTAGTCTTTTGTTTGCATACTTTGTGTATTGTCATCTAAATCGGTGTTGATGCACTATTATTTTCACAATTTAAAAAAGAAAAAAAAAAAGTTTCCCTTGGAGCCTGAGATGAATGTCAAGTTATCTTCTTGACATATCATCCAATTTGTGCAATTGTGTCAATTGCTGGGCAAACACCTAATTTTGCCTAAACAACTAGCATTGGACAGTGAATCCCTTGAGAGACCTAGTTGCCTGGGGGCTGGCATATGACAAACCCTTTTCTGGTATCTTCTCAAATTGTTGTCAGTAAATCACAATATTTGCAATTTGGTTTTGTAATGGTGTCCTTGCAAACATTTTTTTCTTTCTTTCTGAAAGTAATGAAAAGTATACATTAATAGATGCTGAAGGGGGTTCAAGCCTTGTTGATCAAAATGTTGAGTGATGCTCTAGTTGCCCAGAAATACTTGTTGGATATTTATACTAGTAATCTATGTGGCATAGGAAAGACTTTGTTCACTTTTTCTGTCATCATGGCTGAGTAGCATTGTCTTTGTCTATCTTGTATTTCTTTTGGTCTAGCTATTTTTATGTTTTGTTGGATGGTTCCATTCCCTTTCCAAAATTACGCGTTGAAATTTGTGGACCCAGGTTTGAAATTGTTGATACCACAACGAGGTTGCTTGTACCAATCATTGTCCTCCATAATCATAATCGGTACAATATCATGGATAAAGGCCACAACTACAGTATAGATATTCAAGCTACTGAAGCAGAGGTATGTTAATCTTTGGAATGACATCTATTTTGTGGTTGGCTGCTTGATCATTAAGAATTCAGGGGATGTGCTTGTAATTGTTGTCTTTTGCAATTTTTGTTCAAAATCTAAGATAGTTGCAATTGCCATTAATCATTATGTTGCATTTCTTTGAGAAGTATCTTGTAACAACTCATGATGTTAACCCTTCTCTAGGAACTAACTTTTCCCTAGACTAGTCAGTGGTCACTCAGTATGACTATTGTGACAGCAGCATGCATTCTGAGGTACTAACTGGATTATACAATTGCTCTCAAGTCTTGCATAGACCATATATAGCAAACCTTTTCACAACATTAAATAGACTTTAGTTTATAGAAAATGATATAGAAGTCCATTTTCTAGACCCATTTTTAAGACCCAGTAATGTGTAAAAGAGATGATTGGCTGACCATTCAAGCTGGCATGATTTAGTTGCAATGTGACTTTTTCATGAATGTTTTGTTGTTCCATATTTACAAACAATTTAGACTTGCCCATATATATACATAATATTTATAGGCAATTAAAACATACATGTAGACATTGGTGTGGACTATATTGTGCATTATTTTGTCCTTTTCAGGTAAAGAAGATGGTTCACACTGGGCAGGACGTAGTAATGATAGGGGGTATGCATGCTTTACATCGCCATGAGAAGTTGGCAATTGCTCTGTCAAAAGCGATGCGAAGCCATTCTCTTCAAGAGACAAAGACGGATGGACGTTTTCATGTTCATACAAGGACGTATTTGGATGGAGCCATTCTTAAAGAGGTGTGTTCTTAATTTGTTCTACTTTTGTTCACTTTATGAATTACTTATGCTTGAAGTCAATAATGTAACTTGCGACTGAAAGGTGTCCACTTTGAGATAAGGTTATCATTAATTGCAATAACCTCTTACCGTCTTCAATAGGTGCAAATTCTTCATTGAATGTTTTAATGGATTCTTAGAGGCATTCACAGTTCACCACAGCTATTAGATGTTTAGGCCAAATCACAAAATCTTACAATTGAGCTGTTTTTTTTCCTATAATGGTGCCTGCTATTGCAGTTAGCAAAGTTATTAGGATTCCAAGCTCTGCATGAGCTCTAATCATTTCTTCATCTTCAACTCTTTCTATGTTCTTGCTACCTGCAGAATTTTATGTTTATGTATGGGCTTACTGCCTATCAAGATAGTTTCATGTTTTTCCTGTCCTATACATGTGGGTTACTAAGGAGAAGTTATATTCCTCTAATATGAAGCATCTTGAAATGCTCATTGCAGGAGATGGAACGATCTGCTGATGTGCTTGCTGCAGGTTTGCTTGAGATGTCCGATCCATCTCTTTCTAGTAAATTTTTTCTTCAGCAGGTTAGTATAACTTATCTACATTTATATATTATATTCCTTCTGGGATGTAATGGAGGATGCTTAGCTGGTCCTTTGTCTTGTTTAAGAAATTTGGATTTGTTTCCAAAATATATTTAGAGGTTTTTGCAGTACTGTTTGTGAATTTGTCTGTATGCTTTTCATTTTTACACAATGCCTAATCTTAGTTTGTGTTCCAGCACTGGATGGATGAGTCTGATGGTTCAAGTGATTCAGTTTTAAAGCATAAACCTCTTTGGGCTACTTATAGCTCCAAACGTGGCAAGGACAAGAAAAAGAGAGCGGAAGAAAAGAAACAAAAAGGTTTATACCGGACATATGGGACAAGAATCATCCCTGTGTGAGGACATCCCCCTAGCTTGCTATTTTTTTCTACAAGTCAAGCCATTTGGTATTGTGAATTCTTCGGTAGGAGTACAATTCTGTAGGCCCCTATTACCTGTTGAACTTGCTGAAAACATACCATTGTACTGCACAGAATGATATTTATAAAAGGAATAATTAAGGAGTATTTAATATCTGTGCATGCATTTGTTATATATCACCTTGTAAATATACATAACGAAGCCCATTTCATACCTTTAATGAATTCCACACACCCGAAAAAGGAAAAGAAAGAAAGAAATGGAGAAAGGATTACTTAAACAGGTAAATCATAATTGTGTTCACCATGCCAAAACTATTTGCTTTCTGATTGCAAGTGAAAAGAGGGGGAAAAAAAAAAAAAGAACTTTATAATGCTCAATTTCAAAACTATTTGCCAAAAGATACAGAAGAAAATAGAGGGAAGAGAGAGAATTCCTGTACTTAGACCCCACTTGATAACTTTGAAGCATCAAGAAAGCATTTTCGTCCTTGCTCTCAGTATTGGAATATTAATCATTTTCATCCTTGCTTTCACTTCTATATGTCTATAATTTATTGCATAATTATATGAATGTTGCATGCTTTAGTCAGAGTAAATGTGCCATTTCCGTCCGTGATTCATCATCACTACCCATCACGTAAGCCTTGCTTCCAGAACCAAGCTTGCCAAAATAGCCATCAAGGACAGCTACTTCTTCAGAGAAGTCGCGATGGGGAAATGGCTGAGCACCAGGAAATATAAAGCTTCCGCGGGTGTACCTCACGGATCTCACAGAAAGAGATAGCATTTCAGCAAACTTGAGGATGGGAGGAATTGAGAGAAGCAATTTGGTAGTCTCACAAGTTTTGATGATAATTTTGTACGAGTACACAAAGAGGCTTGATTCAGAAAGAACATAAGAATCGACATCATCATTTGCCAAGGAACTGACAATGGTGCATTCAGCTGGGTTTAAAATTTCATCCAATTGGGATTTGGATAGAGAGCGGAGGCCATTGCTTCTAGGGTCAGCAAAGATACTAGACTCAAAGAACGATGGAGATGGAGATGGAGATGGAGATTTATTGACTACTGCAAAGTTTGTTGATGCTTTGAAAATCCCATATATTGCCCCATCCTTTGGAGGCTGTGAAAGCATTGTGGATCAGCCAGCAATAATGTCTTGCTGGGATCTAAGCCAATCTGATAGGGCTAAGTATGCATCATGGACAATTTGGTTCGCTTCAGCTTTGGAGTTGAAGACTTTGAGGACGTGAAGGTGGTGGACTCGAAGAAATTTCAAGATATGTGTAGAAAATTCTAGCGGACTAGGTTGAGGTCCGGCGGGCAGCTAAGGTGAGGTTGCCGCCCGCCGGGGAAGCGAAAATATTAGGTTCTAAACATGCTCTGATACCATGTAAAAATAAATTGATGTATATTATTGATTGATGTATGTTGTTGTATTTATTACAATGATTCATGATTCCTATATATATAGAAGAGGGTGAGTGTGTAGTAGGTAAGGAGTAGGTGAAGTGGAGGTGGTAGTGGTGTAGTGGGTTAGGTTTAGTGGAGTAGGTTTAAGTGGGTGAAGTAGGTGATAGGTTTTAACATTTTGGATGTTGAGAATGACTGCTCTACTTAGATCTTCCATTGGAAAAGAAGGTTGATCTCCAATGATATATAGGCCTATAATTTTTCGTAATAAACTTTTACGGGCACATTTTGCTTGCACATCTCAGATAATAGCAGTATTGTTTGCAGAAGTATTATGTTTGTTGCATTCAATCAACTCTAGGTGACCTCAGATTCCAACCATAATAATAATGTTATTACGTACATACTCCAGCTGCTTGCATGTTTTGAAAGAGAGATAAATTAAGCAGTCTCAGATCTTCTGATCATGTTAAGTCGTTGCTGTTTAGGTCTTATGTGGGCCTCCGATATTATTTGTTTCTAGTCTTTTGTTTGCATACTTTGTGTATTGTCATCTAAATCGGTGTTGACGCACTATTATTTTCAGAATTTAAAAAGAAAAAAAAAAGTTTCCCTTGAAGCCTGAGATGAATGTCAAGTTATCTTCTTGACGTATCATCCAATTTGTGCAATTGTGTCAATTGCTGGGCAAACACCTAATTTAGCCTAAACAACTAGCATTGGACAGTGAATCCCTTGAGAGACCTAGTTGCCTGGGGGCTGGCATATGACAAACCCTTTTCTGGTATCTTCTCAAATTGTTGTCAGTAAGTCACAATATTTGCAATTTGGTTTTGTAATGGTGTCCTTGCAAACATTTTTTTCTTTCTTTCTGAAAGTGATGAAAAGTATACATTAATAGATGCTGAAGGGGGTTCAAGCCTTGTTGATCAAAATGTTGAGTGATGCTCTAGTTGCCTAGAAATACTTGTTGGATATTTATACTAGTAATCTATGTGGCATAGGAAAGACTTTGTTCACTTTTTCTGTCATCATGGCTGAGTAGCATTGTCTTTGTCTATCTTGTATTTCTTTTGGTCTAGCTATTTTTATGTTTTGTTGGATGGTTCCATTCCCTTTCCAAAATTACGCGTTGAAATTTGTGGACCCAGGTTTGAAATTGTTGATACCACAACGAGGTTGCTTGTACCAATCATTGTCCTCCATAATCATAATCGGTACAATATCATGGATAAAGGCCACAACTACAGTATAGATATTCAAGCTATTGAATCAGAGGTATGTTAATCTTTGGAATGACATCTATTTTGTGGTTGGCTGCTTGATCATTAAGAATTCAGGTGATGTGCTTGTAATTGTTGTCTTTTGCAATTTTTGTTCAAAATCTAAGATGGTTGCAATTGCCATTAATCATTATGTTGCATTTCTTTGAGAAGTATCTTGTAACAACTCATGATGTTAACCCTTCTCTAGGAACTAACTTTTCCCTAGACTAGTCAGAGGTCACTCAGTATGACTATTGTGACAGCAGCATGCATTCTGAGGTGCTAACTGGATTATACAATTGCTCTCAAGTCTTGCATAGACAATAGATAGCAAACCTTTTCACAACATTAAATAGACTTTAGTTTATAGAAAATGATATAGAAGTCCATTTTCTAGACCCATTTTTAAGACCCAGTAATGTGTAAAAGAGATGATTGGCTGACCATTCAAGCTGGCATGATTTAGTTGCAATGTGACTTTTTCATGAATGTTTTGTTGTTCCATATTTACAAACAATTTAGACTTACCCATATATATACATAATATTTATAGACAATTAAAACATACATGTAGACATTGGTGTGGACTATATTGTGCATTATTTTGTCCTTTTCAGGTAAAGAAGATGGTTCACACTGGGCAGGAAGTAGTAATGATAGGGGGTATGCATGCTTTACATCGCCATGAGAAGTTGGCAATTGCTCTTTCAAAAGCGATGCGAAGCCATTCTCTTCAAGAGACAAAGACGGATGGACGTTTTCATGTTCATACAAGGACGTATTTGGATGGAGCCATTCTTAAAGAGGTGTGTTCTTAATTTGTTCTACTTTTGTTCACTTTATGAGTTACTTATGCTCGAAGTCAATAATGTAACTTGCCAGTCGCGTAGACTGAAAGGTGTCCACTTTGAGATAAGGTTATCATTAATTGCAATAACCTCTTACCATCTTCAATGGGTGCAAATTCTTCATTGAATGTTTTAATGGATTCTTAGAGGCATTCACAGTTCACCACAGGTATTAGATGTTTAGGCCAAATCACAAAAGCTTACAATTGAGCTGTTTTTTTTCCTATAATGGTGCCTGCTATTGCAGTTAGCAAAGTCATTAGGATTCCAAGCTCTGCATGAGCTCTAATCATTTCTTCATCTTCAACTCTTTCTATGTTCTTGCTACCTGCAGAGTTTTATGTTTATGTATGGGCTTACTGCCTATCAAGATAGTTTCATGTTTTTCCTGTCCTGTACATGTGGGTTACTAAGGAGAAGTTATATTCCTCTAATATGAAGTATCTTGAAATGCTCATTGCAGGAGATGGAACGATCTGCTGATGTGCTTGCTCCAGGTTTGCTCGAGATGTCCAATCCATCTCTTTCTAGTAAATTTTTTCTTCAGCAGCTTAGTATAACTTATCTACATTTATATATTATATTCCTTCTGGGATGTAATGGAGGATGCTTAGCTGGTCCTTTGTATTGTTTAAGAAATTTGGATTTGTTTCCAAAATATATTTAGAAGTTTTTGCAGTACTGTTTGTGAATTTGTCTGTATGCTTTTCATTTTTACACAATGCCTAATCTTAGTTTGTGTTCCAGCATGGATGAGTCTGATGGTTCAAGTGATTCATTTATAAAGCATAAACCTCTTTGGGCTACTTATAGCTCCAAACGTGGCAAGGACAAGAAAAAGAGAGCGGAAGAAAAGAAACAAAAAGGTTTATACCAGACATATGGGACAAGAATCATCCCTGTGTGAGGACATCCCCCTAGCTTGCTATTTTTTTCTGCAAGTCAAGCCATTTGGTATTGTGAATTCTTCGGTGGGAGTACAATTCTGTAGGCCCCTATTACCTGTTGAACTTGCTGAAAACGTACCACTGTACTGCACAGAATGATATTTATAAAAGGAATAATTAAGGAGTATTTAATATCTGTGCATGCATTTGTTATATATCACCTTGTAAGTATACATAACGAAGCCCATTTCATACCTTTAATGAATTCCACACACCCGAAAAAGGAAAAGAAAGAAAGAAATGGAGAAAGGATTACTTAAACAGTTAAAGCATAATTGTGTTCACCATGCCAAAACTATTTGCTTTCTGATTGCAAGTGAAAAGAGGGGGAAAAAAAAAAAAAGAACTTTATAATGCTCAATTTCAAAACTATTTGCCAAAAGATACAGAAGAAAATAGAGGGAAGAGAGAGAATTCCTGTACTTAGACCCCACTTGATAACTTTGAAGCATCAAGAAAGCATTTTCGTCCTTGCTCTCAGTATTGGAATATTAATCATTTTCATCCTTGCTTTCACTTCTATATGTCTATAATTGATTGTATAATTATATGAATGTTGCATGCTTTAGTCTGGTTGAGTTATTTTGTAAAGACTCTTCAAGAAAGATAGCATAATTGAGAGCATTGAAGTTTGTGGGTTCCAAGTCCAACCAATGTATTTTTTTCTACCATATTCAAGACTACTAAAATAAATCCCCTTCTGAAATTTGGTTTCTACGGTTTTGACTCAAAATATTGACTATTTAGTATTACATAGTGGAATGATATTTCTGGTGCTTTGAACTGCTCCGTCAGTGCTTAAGAATGCATGCTTAATATTAACACGTGACATTGCTGTAAATTGTGTAAGCATGCTTTTGATGAGATAGCTATTGAAATGCAACCAACTTCTTCATGCAGCTTTGTTCTCTCACTGGCTGATGTGGATCCACGACTGATGATGGAAGATGATAGTCTCGTGTGGACAAGTAACGATGTTGTTATTGTACTTGAGCATCAAAATGAAAAGATACCCCTAAGGTGAGTGGACTGGATTTATTTATTTTGGTCGGTAAAATAGGTCACAGACATAGAATGTGAGTGGTGTAAAAAGAAAAAAATAAATATAATATCAAACTTAATTATAAGAGACCTTATCCCTAACATGTGGTGTTACACCAGATCATGTTGCTTTCAGTCTATCTTCAACTGCACTGCTCGAAGACCCTAGTGGCACCATGCCTCAAGGTGCAACTATTATATTTAGTCAATCATGGCTTTGGAAGTGCTTTATTTTTTTTTTGCATTTTCTGCTGGAAAACTGCAGATTCACTCTCTTAAGGCCTTATAAAGTCCTTATAAGAGTGGTGAAGTATATACACAGCCCTCTTCATTAGGCCTTCCTACTGATCACAAAGCACAGTTAGGGCTAGCCAAATGCTGCTCGACACTCACTTAGACATTGATTAAATTTCCTATGGATCTAAAACCTAATAATACTCTGATATGACTGTATGATCATTTAGGTTGTTTGAGTATGCTTGAGATGCAGATTTGGTTATTTCACATGCATAACTTAACTGTGACTTGGGGCATGTTTGTGTGGCTCCTGGGGTGTGTCTCATATGTGCAGCAACATCACCAGCTTAAATAATATTGCTCCATCTTGCCATTATGTTGTCAGAAAAGATAATCATTTCAATGGCTCTCGCCTTTTTCTTATTAGTGCTGAACTGCTGATGTTTTCTCTCAAGTGCATTTATTTGATGTGCTGCCTTATTGATTCATCACTAATCCCTCTCGACAACCTTAGTCATGTTCATTGAGTATACTTGGCTACTTGGTGCCTGACATTTTAAGCTTGTACAGCATGCCGACTAAAAACTTCTCACAACAATCCTTAGTTCTACTGTTAGTTCTACTCATTTATACGTTGTGTGCACCAATAAGTGCGCACGCTTTAGTTCTACATGACCGCATAATAGAATGATTTGTCTTCAATATCCCTTTTACCATCTGTCTTCAGTATCACTTGCATCTATTATTGGTAAACACTAAATTATTGTGATTCATGCAGTATGATGGACCATCACATAAGTTCAGGAATATATGTATCTTTCTTAAAAGAACCCAACTGAAATTCATATGACCTTGCAGTCTGTTTGTGGCCTTGATAGTGGTTCAAATTGATTAGGCAAGGATCTGTTCAATCTATGTAGAAATGACAGGCTTCATGTTAGATTTTTCCATATTTATAGTAGAATTATGTGATCCTTCTTTAAGTATCATACTCCTATGTTTTTCTTGGACAGTAATGTCTCAAAAACAGGGAGAAGGCATGCTATCCCATCACAGGCGCAGCGGCATATATTGGCTGGCCTGGCTTCTGTTGTCGGTGGATTAAGTGCACCATATGAAAAGGCTTCTCATATACATGAAAGACCACTTGTGAAAAGGCGTTATGACCCTGACACGTGGCACCTCGGCTGACACATCGGCGTCACCTTGCCACGTGTTGGTACTCATAAATATATCCCCACAGATATGAAAGTACGGGGTTGAAATGGAAAAACTACAAGGACCAAAGTGAAATCTCATTGAAACTATAGGGACCAATGTTGTAATATACCCGAATAAATATATGTATATATATATATATATATAAATATCTACGAATAAACAACATTTGTCTTGAATGTTTGAATAACAGAACTTTGAAGAACAGCTTGTAGATTTGTCTTCCCTGTTATACGATCATCACTTACAAGATGCGCACTTGAACAGCTCAGAGATTCTCCAGAGCTCCATCTTCACCCAACAGTAAGTTATCATGACCCTTTGTTTTTCCCCCAATGTTGGCTATTACGCTTTCTTTTGGAAGAGGCTTATTGTTGATTCGATGACAAACAACAACAACAAAAATCAATATTTATCATTTTTATGCTCAATATCCGAGTCTGTTATACAGGTACGTAGAGCACGTTTTGGCCAATGAGAAGGAGGAAATGAAATGTTGTGCTATTGAATACAAATTTCCCGTGCAGTCTTCCCAAAATTTCATCTACGCTGGAATTCTTCTTGCCGGATTCTTTGTATATTTTGTAGTCATTTTCTTTTCATCTCCTGCGCACTGATGTAACAAAATCGCAATCCTCACCCAGAAATTGTTCCAAATTTTGTGATGCTCAGTTACGTCGACAAATACATGTATCAGCATATAACACTTTTGATAGATAGAGGAAAAACTTGACATGAAAAGCTTCTTTATCAATATCTGAAATATCGAAACTATGATATTTTGTTGAGTTTATGTAGCCTCTCTTGTTTTACTTAATTGCCTAGCTGACACTTGTTATTGCTCCTAATCTGGGTGGCTATCACAAGAAAATGGAGGATATCTACTGAAGAAAATCAGGTGCGTCCATGGTACCCGTGATTTTTGTGGGCCTGTTTCTGTTGATCTCTCTGTTCTTTCTGAATATCTGAAATGTGGGAACTGACATTTTGTTGGGTTTATGTAGGCTCATGTTTTCTTAACTTGCCTAGCTGGCACTGGTGTTATTGCTCTTAATCTGGGTCGTTATAGCGAGAAAAGGCAGGAGGATGTCTACAGAGAAAAATCAGCTGCGTCCATCGTACCCATGATTTTTGCTGGCCCGTTTATGTTGGATGTCTCTGTTGTTCTTTCTCAATATCTGAAATATGGAAACTGTGACATTTTGTTGGGTTTATGTACGCTCTGATATTGCTTCTAATCTGGGTGGCTATAGCAAGAAAAGAAGGGATGATATCTTGCTGAAAAAATCAGGTGCGTCCATCGTAGCACGTATTTTCACAGGCCCATTTTTCTCATGCCTTGGTTATTTTATTTTTTTTAAAGGAAAAAAAAAAATCCAATTTAGGAGAAGTTATCTGATGTTTCCAAAAAAGTGTGTGATCATGTGTAGACCCAACAATAGGAGGGCATGTCACCATTTTTTAGGAAAAAAATTTGGAACAAAGTAAACACTTGGACACTCGTGTAATTGGATAGGCATATGGCCATGATGGTGTCGACTCACTTGATAATTTCTCGCTAGCAATTTTAATGGTATGCATTTGTAAGGAGTGATTTGATTTGGGTGGTAAATGAAATAAATGACGACTCATGAGATGTACTGATAATAATGACATGATTTAATTGAGAATAGAAAAGAAATAAAAAAATGAATCTAATTGGTTTGCGAAGTTGGGTTTGTAGTAAAAACTCATTATAATGGTCACTTTCTAAACAGTGAGTTGAGTTGAGGAATATTTATTTGGTGATAGGTCTATCTTGTAGTTTAACTCTTATCCTCTATTTGGATTGAGTGATTTGTAAAGCAATGATGATAAAAAAAAATGTTTGGTTTATAAATCAGGCGAGGAATTGTGAGAACAATGAGCTCTTATTTTATCGATTTTATTTCTCACAAAAAGTGGTAAGATTTAATGATAAATAAATTGTTGGTTATAAGATATTTATAATATCAAGATTGCCTCAACAAATACAAAGGAAGAAAAAAAAAATTGTATCTCTCTCACATGTTTTGTTTTCTTATCCATCCAAATATGATAGTAAAAAAACACATTAGTGCGTTTGATTTTAATTTTCTCAATTTAATTTTTTTTAAATTGAGTTTTTTTTGTTTTTAGTGAATATTTTTAAAATTTTAAGCACTTTTTTTACTTTTTTAAATGCACCTTATTTAGATGTATCTAAAAAGTAAAATATTTGTAAAAAATTATTTTAAAAAATTAATAAATACACAAAAATACAAAAAATGTATTGAATTTTCCTTCTTCTTTTTTTATATTTTTGGTATTTAGTAAATTTTTAAAAAAAAAAAATTCACAAAAAAAAATTTTTTTGAGTGTATTTATGTTAGGTGTGTTTAAAAATTAAAAAAATTACTTAAAATATTTTTAAAAATTAATGAAAACAAAAAAGTAAAATTTTTAAAAAAGTGAATTTTAGAAATCAAAACCAAACAGAGTTTTTTTTTTTCCTCATGATCCAAATACTGGTTTAATGTGAACCTTGAGAGAAACTGGATGCACAGCTTCAAAATGGGGATTGAAGTGATGCACAACATAGTTGAGTTAATTTTCATTCTAACCTCCTTCCCCACCATCCAAAGTCGTCAACCTATGCCAACTCTTCGGAAACCTCTGGTAACCCACTGCCCACCATCTGTCCACCTCCAGCAACCCATGCCAACGGCCACTACAACCATCGGCTTCTACCTCTGGTTGGTCTCCACCACTGACCACTACTTTCTAATAACTCACAAATATGTTTTTTTATTTTCGTTTTATATATTCGCAAAACATTTATGTGCACAAAATAAGTTTCTGTTTTTGTTTCGAGTAATGCAACAGTGACAATCTAATGTGTCCATCTAGTTGTTAGTACAACATTGGAGATATGCATGAGTGGTTATGTCAATATTGTGTCGACAAGAAGGCAACTGAAGGGCACGCAATGAGCGATCTAACAAAAGTGTCAAGTAAGATGGTAATTATAATATGATACAGAAATATAACAAGTTTAACATTATTGTTATGTTTTTGTTGCAAAAGTAAGCAAAAGCATGTTTTCTGTTTTCTAAAAGCAGGAAGTTGGCTAATTTTTCTGCAGCAGCAAGGACGACCAGCCCACTAAGGAACGAGTGATGACAAAAAATTATGTGGAGGTTGGCTTTCTCTGCCACTTTATTCTTAACACTCCCGAGATTTGATTTTAATACGATTCCCTTTTGAAAAATGAGTAACAGTATTAATTAGTGTTACTATTAATGATGTGACAGTAAATTTTACCATAAATGATTTGATGTTTTGATCTTGGTGTTATATTTTTTTCTTTTCTTATTAAGTACCATGTTATTAATAATCTTTTTAAAGTTTCAAAATTAGTAATCTCTATCATTGTTGCTCCCTCCTTGGCATTTCAAGAATTACACTGACCTCTTTGTCAGAATTATCTATGAACGGAAGTTACGGAAAAAAAAAAAATTATAAAGACTTTAATTTACTGTATTACCCTCTCAACCTACCCAATCATTGCAACCCCAAACAATTACACTTCTCTTCTAATTGCTGAAATAATAACTTTAGTTAGGTCAACTAATAGTCAATAAATATATGGGGTAATTTGTAACGTGACTTTAAATCTCGAGAAGTGGAATGTATTTTTTAGGACGTGAGGGGTATTTGTATTAAAGTTAAACCTAAAGGGGTGTGAGTATAATTTACCCTTATTCTTAATTTATTTTTTGGTGTGAATCTTAAAAAAAAAAAAAAAAAAAAAACATATGGGGAAATTAGTGGGTACCCATCCCCAATCCATCCCCTGTGGATATTTAAAGAATATCACCTACCCTACCCAATGGATAAGAAAAAGAGAGGAAAACCCATGTATTTGGGTTGGGTCTCCATGGATACCCACAGGGTAGGTTATCCATTGCCATCCCTATTGTTGCCGGGTGTCTTCCTTGAGAGAGAAATAAATAAATAAATACGGTAAGAGAAATGAAATAAAGTGAGGGTAAAATTGGTATTTAAGAAAATTTAATTGCTGACATAATAACTTCAGTTAGATCAACTAATAGTCAACAAATATATGGGGTAATTTGTAACGTGACTTTAAATCTTGAGTAGCGGAATGTAATTTTTAAAACGTGAGGGGGGTATTTGTATTAAAGTTAAACCTAAAGGGGTGTGAGTGTAATTTGCCCTTATTCTTAATTATTTGGTTTATTTTTTCAAAATTTGTTAATTGATTTTTTTGTTTTCATATATATATTTTTTTAACAACAATGATTCATCCCACTAAAAACATCACCACTAATAGCACTAATGCATTAAAAAAGTAAAAAAAATAAATAAAAAATACAACTCCAAGACTAAAACATCACATCATTAATAGCGGGACCCACTGCCACCTAATTAGTGGGAGCACTAATTAGTGCTCCCAAGCATTTTTCATCCAAAGTTATTTGCAAAATTTTTAAAACTATCTTTCTACAAAAATGAGAACTTAAGTGATACTACTAAGAAGAAAACTTTCCTAATTAAAAAAAGTTGATTGATAATATTTGAATTTTGTCTGTTGGGGAGACTGAAATGATACTCTTTTTGTAAGCTAGTCCCTAAACCATGTGGCCAATTTAAATACATTTAAAAAATAAAATATTTATAAAAAAAATATAAAAGTTTTGGTATCAAAAGTAATTTGCAAAATTTTTAAAACTATCTTTCTACAAAAATAAAAACTTAAGTGATACTACTATGAAGAAAACTTTCCTAATCAAAAAAAAAAAAAAGTTGATTGATAATATTTGAATTTCGTCTTTTGGGGAGACTGAAATGATACTCTTTTTGTATGCTAGTCCCTAAACCATGTGGCCACTAGCAAATTAGGAAAATGTTTGGTAGTTCAAAATTTTGTGATTCAAATGGCTCAAATCTGTCAAAACGGCGTCGTTTTACACTCATTTATACTCAAAACAATGTCGTT